TGCATGCATGTCATTCGTTATGAAATACTCTTCGCCATCATCATCATCGTCTTCATCGTTGTCGCTATCGCCCGCATAATCCGATGATTCTTCCTGAAACAAAGCACTGTTTCATGGGACAGAGTAGTGATGCGTTCCAACAGCAACACAGAGTTTTGTCACTCTTGCAAGCACTATGTACCGTTGAGGAATGGCTAATAACTTTTATGACTACTACTAACCACCGAGAAATCAATCAGTTTAGTTATTTATCACGGATATCAGAAATCAACCAGTTATTTAGTTATCACGGATATTAAGATCATCGCTGTCGTCGGATACCAAACCCATTCATTACGTCGGTAAATCGACGTGCACATCTGACGACAGTGATGCTATTGGGATATTCCCACACACCTTGCCTAGCTACGCCAGGCTTAACTCCGAACTGCACACCTCCAATTGGTACCTACCACCTTCCCTACGGAGGAATTGCCAGCTTTTCGGGAAATACCCAACTGTTTACTTTCTCGTAAGCATCACCCACTGAAATGCGATGTTGTTCACTGGGTGCTGGTAGGGAAAGCAACACGTGTCGCACATTGAATTTTACTTTTTCGCGAAATTCCACTGATATCTCCCACGCAGTGTTCTGGGGGCGCGTTTGTTTATTTATGACTCCAATCATTCTTCGTTCCATTGTTTTTTACGTTAAAGTCAGCGTTCTGGTGGCGAACGCTATCACTCCGGCCGTTTTCAAGTGACTTTATTCCTCACAAAATAGATTTTGAAGTAATTCTAACTTTTGACTAGTTGTCCCTCTCCTTTTGATTACTAACGATGCAGCCATTAAAATTACAGAAACTGCACAAATATGATAAACGCAATCCCACAATCATTCATTTTTTTGCAGAAAAAGAATGCATGCCTGAGGCGACTCGAGGAATAACTGCGCCTCCTGCAGTTCGCCCGATTCCTCCTCGTCTTCCTGTTCGTCCTGCTCCAGCTGCTGCGACTCTAGCGATAACGAAGGCGATGCTGCTTGTGCCTCACTCGGTAATGGCTTTCCGCCATTTGGCTTTAACCAGTCATGTTGGAGACACTGGCGGGCTGTTGCTCGTTCATCCTGATCGAATGCCAGCATCGGGATCAGAAAAGACGAGAACTGTGCGGCCGATTCCATCGACCAATCGTACTTCTGCGTTAGCACCTCCACCAGTGACCATGGTTTCAGCTGGTGAATGTGAATCAGCTGGCCGTGCTGCAAAAATTTCATCATTCCGCTGTTGTGGCAAAATTTCTGACTAAAAAATCTAGAATGGCCTACTGGAATATCAATTCTGACTTGTCAAATATGACCAAAAAACAATTTTCGTTTTTCATTTTATTCTAAGCATTACTTATTACTGTTTGAAACATATTTACACTGGAGGGGCGCTACAAGAACAAAAGGACTCATAAAAAAAGGCATTGTGGATGCCTCTACGGATTTATGATGATAAAATTGGTAAGCCAACAATTGGAGGAAAAGATTATTAGTTAAAGTAGAGGCTGTGGCACGCCTAGAGGTAAATAGAAGAGTAAATTACTGGCTGCAGTAACGGGGAGAATGAGCGCAACATTGAAACAGCAGTTAATTACAGTACCAAAAATAAGTTCATTTTACTGGTAAAACAGTTCAGAGGCTATGTCCTGCAACGAAAACAAATATGAAGCTTCATTCACCTTATTGAAAAATTCACGCCAATGAGCTCCCTTTTTGTAGATCCGGGGAGGAATTATTCCCAGAAGCTCGATAATGTGCGCAAGATGATCCTCATCCCTGCTATACGTGTCGCCGCTATGTGGCTCGAACAAATAATCACCGGTCGCCAATTCAAATGCCTGCAAAACGATACAACTAGTGATTGTTACATCTCGCAACAAAAAAAAAAAAAATAAATAGCAACACGCACCAGACTACCCGGTGG